CACCAATAAGAAAATGTAGAGTTAACAAAGCATTATTTAGCCTGTCCCTGGGGGTCATTACTCTCTCTTTTTGTTTAATAAGATATTCATTATTATTATTATTATTATTATTATTATTATTATTATTATTATTTGTACAATGTTCTGTGTGCCTGCATGCCAGAAGAGGGCACCAGATCTCATTATAGATGGTTTTGAGCCACCATGTGGTTGCTGGGAATTGAACTCAGGACCTTTGGAAGACTTAACCTCTGAGCCATCTCTCCACCCCCAATAAGCGTCTCTTTTAAAGTACAATTAGCTCTTTCTCCAGCTGCCCGTTCTCTAGGATTGTGCAGTATAGCCCTATGTGCTTTACAGTATAACATGCAAAGAACTGCTTCATCTTACTGACACATATGCCGGGGTATTATCAGCCTTGACTTGTGCAGGTATCCCCATAATGGCCATGATTTCCCACAAATGTGTGATTACACAATCAGCCTTTTCAGAATGCAAAGCAGCTGCCCACTGAAACCCTGAATATGCATCTATGGTATGGTTATTCTGCAAGATGAAACACATCCATCTGCCAGATTTCATTTCTTTTCGTACCCCTAGGGTTACTTCCAGCAGGTAATGGACTTTGGTTATACAGAGAACAAGTAGGACATTTTAAAAATTATTTCTTTGGCTTGTTGCTAAGTGATAGAGAAATTTTCCTTTACCGTTAACATGGTGTTTTTCATGACATTTCGAGGCCTCTGTCACAATTCCTATTAGTAATTAATCAATTTCCTCATTCCCTTGTGCCAATGGACCTGGCAAACCTGTATGAGACTGAATATGAGTAATATATAATGGATAGTTTCTGCTTCTGATGGCCTGTTGCAACTGTATAAATTACAAAGTCGATTCTGAATTATCAGGAATAAATTCAACAGTTTTTATTTTCTATATGCAAAACAACTCTTTCTGCATCTTGAGAGTCAGTAATTATGTTAAGAGATTCAGGAAAATCTAATAACCCTCTAAGGATAGCGTATAATTCTGATTTTTGAACTGAGGCATATGGGCTTTGATCACCCTGCTTATCTTGTCTGATTTATAACCTGCCATTCCCATCTTGTTTGCATTGGTATAGAATGTTGGTGCCTCTGGGACTGGTGTTTCCTTTACAATACATGGATGAATCCAACTAGCTCTTTTTATGAGAATCCAATTAGCTCTTTTTTGCTTTTAGAATATTTGTTATTAATTTCTCCCAAATAGTTACTGCATGCTTTTTGCCAATCTTCATTGATTACCCATAATGCCATAATCTCAGCATTAGTAAGAGGCTCTACAATTTCAGTAGGATCTATTTCTGACAATTGACTTAGTCTTATTCTACCTTTTGTAATTAATTCAGAATTTTTTAATGTATGTCTTTAATTTTTATTTTGTTTATGTGCTAAGAAAATCCATTCCATAATACTGTCTTCCCTTTGCATAATGAGCCCAGTAGGAGAATGAGTTTGAAGGCAAAATGACCAAAATACAATCAAGTTTAGGATCAATTTGATCCACATACGCATCTTGCAGTCTTTGTTCTACCAGAGCTAATGTCTTCTCTGCTTCAGCGGTTAGACATCTTGGGCTGTTTAAATCTGAATCTCCTTGTAATGTTTGAAACAAATTACTTGACTCATATGTACTTAATCGAACTGTAGGCCTCACCCAGTTAATATCTCCCATTACTTTTTGAAAATTGTTTGCAATTGGTCCCTATGAATCTGAACCTTTTGTGGTCAAATTTTTGTTGACTTATTTTATAACCCAAATAGCTAAGTGAATCGCCCCTTTGTATTTTTTTTCTGGAGCAATCTCTAACCCCCCACCTTGGCAGAATTCTTTGTTTACTTAAACATTTTTTTTAAAGTATCTGTGTCAGAATCAGCAAATGAAATAGCATCCATATAATGATAAATGATAGATTGAGGGAATTGCTTACGAATTATTTCTACTGATTGTCGTTCAAAAAACTGACATGAAGTTGGACTATTTAACATTCCCTGTGGCCTCCAGTGGTATCTCTTTATTGGATCACTGTTGTTCAGAGTAGGTACTGAAAAAGCAAACCTTTCCCTATCCTGCTCATGCAACGGTATTGTGAAAAAGCAATCCTTTAAATCAATTATTTTTTAAAAAATTTATTTATTTATTATTTACACAGTATTCTGCCTGCATGTACACCTGAACGCCAGAAGAGGGCACCAGATCGTGAGATAGATGGTTGTGAGCCACCATGTGGTTGCTGGGCGTTGCTCAGGACCTTTGGAAGAGCTGAGCCATCTCTCCAGCCCCCCTAAATCAATTATTATTATAGGCCAAGCTCTAGGTAACAAAGAAGGTAAAGGAATTTCAGATTGTAAAGGACCAGATTGTAAAGTAATTGGCTGAATTACTCTATTCTTTGCCATTAAATCTGTTATCTTCCTTTTTGCCTGATTACTTTTTTACAACAAACACAGGGCAATTCCATGGGCTGGGAGACTCTTCTCTATGTTGAGCTTCCAGCTGCTCTTATACCGGTTGTTCAAGCGCCTGCAGTTCTTCTTCTGTTATGGCCATTGTTCTTGCCACACAGGTCTATTTGATGTCCATTTTAGGGGCAAGGCTGCTGGTGTTTCAGCAGCGGCCCCTCTTATACATTTGGAAACTCAATCCTGTGATGTCCTGTGCTGGGGCAGTGGGCACAGCTTGTGATTTTTCTTGATCACACATATCAATACCTTCCCCAAGAGCACCTACCATTTCACCCCTAACTTCATTATTTGCTGCCTCTGGGATTGCAGAAATAGTGAGTACCCCGTCGTTGTAGAAGATCCCTGCCCCATAAATACATGGATGTGAGCTACAGGGGGCCTCAACTTTTCTGTTTGCCCTTCTGCTTCCTCACATTTATTCCACCATGCACTTGCGTTACTTGAGATAATTTACCAGTCCCTATAAACTGTGCATAAACCTTCTGAGGTTGCCATTTTGGATTGCAAACCTTGTATTTCAACACCATTCAGCTGTACCATTAATTGGGGTCTCTGATTGTAAACCATTGTTTGCCGGAACGCATTGTTTTCCAGTACTCCCAAAAGCCCCTTTCTACTGGAGCAGCTTTACCTTTGAGGTAGGGAAGCAGTAACAGCTGAGCAATTCTACCCCCTGCATTCATTTGCATCTCCTTTTTAAACATATGCCATGATTTCAATTTCTTCCTTGCAATCCCCATCTACAGTACCTGAATGCACAATAAATCCTGAGAAGCCAATCCACTTCTTCCCAAGCTCATCCCTACTGTCCCTGAAGGCAAAGGACCATAAACATGAATGTTAATTTGTAACTTCCAACTCTTGGGGGTAGGGTAAGAGGTTTACCTGTAGCCAAATCCAAAGCTGTGATACCTTCAGTAGCATGTATCAAACCCAAGATTCTTAGTTCTGGTTTTCCTGCCTGCCTGTTAGCTGCTGGGTGTCTAACAGAAGACTGCTCATGTAGCAGAAAGCCACCTGCAGTGTTCTTTATAAAAACTGTTTTATTTGAGGTGTTTAGGCCTCTACCTCCTTTCTACCACCCCCCCGCAACACACACCTTATGGAAGACAGAGAAAAGGTTAGTGGGGAGAGGGGGCCAGACCTCTTTACTTCTCTCTCTAGTTAGGGTCAAGGGGTTCTTTTAGGGCTCTAGACCAATCAGCAGCAGCAGCCTCAGCCAGCAGTCTCCTCCATGCCACTGAGCCCCAAAGCGTTTCTCTCCATCTGCTCCAAACCGCCGCAGCGTTTTTGTCTTTGGTCTCTCCAAAATGCTATGTGCCACACACGCCAACACCGAATGCCACCACACACACCTCCTCTCCTCTCTCTCGGCTCTCACATCCATACTCTCAGAATCCTAGACCACGGCCCTCTCTCGCCGCATGTGGAAGCCGTTACCAGCTGGTAAAGATCACGCCCCGCACGTGACAATTCGCAGGTGTGAACAAACTATAGCCCAACTCAAATGCCACCCTTGGGATCAAAACAGAAACATATTTACGTAACATAACTGAGCTTACACAGAAACCAAGACTTCCATTACACAGCTCGCATCGTTTGCTGTGGAGCCTCCAGCCGACAGGCCCCTCCATTCGTTTTCCGATGGCATGAGGTTACCTTGCAGGACCCTCTTGTAACAGCAATCCCTAGACCAATGCTTACCCTTGCCACAGCCGCAACTAAACGCTGGGAGCCCTTGTGCTCCGCGGCAGCCAGAATCTACTGGCTCCCCTTCTAAGAGTAAGTATACCGTATTCCTCAGAGTTAAATCACCTCCTCTTTTGAACTCTAAAGCATTTAACCTTACAGGTTTTTCTTGTAAATGGCCAAATTGACCTCAAGTAAAGCACTGGGCATTTTGATTTCTGAAACTTCTAGCTACGGCTTGTCCTAGGATATTGGCATGATGCTCCTGAGAGTCGATATCGGTTGTTTTTCTTATCCACTCATCCATCGGGGCTGCTCATGCTTTCAGTGGTCTAAGTGCTCTCTTCTCTTCAGTATTTGCATTCTCATACGCCAGGAGTGGTACAATCACTTTTCTGGTCTCAGGGTCTGGGATGGCTCTATTTACAGCTGAACCCAATCTTTCTAAGAATTCAACGAAGGCTTCTGCAGGGCCCGTACCACCTTAGTAAATGAGGTGAGTGCTTTCCCAGCTCTACCACTTCGACATGAATGAGTGCATCACCGCCCACTAGTTTTTTTTTTTTTTTTGCGTTGATGTACATATACTCACACAATTGAATTAGTTTTCTCTGGTGCTGGTGCTGGAAGATTAACCCAGAACCTCCTGGCACATGCTAAGCAGCCTATTTAATTGTAAAAATTAACATTATTCCTCACATCCTCATTCCCACGATCCCTTCCTGCTGAGCTCCCCGAGCCCTCTTTGGGGGCTCCCGAGGTCCTCCTACATGCCTGAGCTGAAGTCCTGTCATCTGACTTGCGTCAGCAAGTTGGGGCCTGCTCTGATGCTGGTGCTGGGATGGTCTGTTCCAAGGCTGGGCTGTCAGACGGCACGACGCTCAGAGCCAGCTCATCTTGGCCTAGGATGCCATCTTGGTCTTCATCGATTCTGGAGCCACTGGGCCCAAAGAATTTCACCATGGCATGGACCTGTGGCAGCTCTGAGAAGGTCTCCACTGCTAAAAGCATGGCCAGGAGCCCCAGGAACAAGTAACCTGGGGGAAGAGGCAGTTAGTGCTCACGATGCTCCCTACCCACTTCCCCGTGTGCTCACCCACCCTGGCACTACTTGCAACTCTCAACATGGCCCCCACTGTCCTTCGGACTAAGCACCCATTTTGTGCCTTAGGGTAGGATCTCTCTGTGAGTTGTAGTCTCCCGTGGTCTATGGGAGTCGAAGTCCAGGCCCCTGAACCCTTCACTTTTCTGCACTCACCGAGAAGGGCGAACTGCCCAAGGCGGTAAATGGCTGGGTGCAGGCCACGTCCCTGGCCAGGCAGCAAGTCCCCTAGGCCGATAGTGCTGAGTGAGCCGAAGCAGAAGTAGACAGCTTCTAGCAGGCCGCAGTCGCCCTGTGCAGCCCACAGCACCAGCGCTGGCAAAAACACGAAGACGCAGGCCACCAGGAGGCCCAGTCCTGCTGCCTGGAGCAGAGCAGCCTGGGCTGGTGCCAGCCGCCAGCGGATGGCCACCCAGGCACCTGGGCAACTGAACACAGGCAGCAGGCGCCCTCGCAGGACAGCCACAAGGGCTAGAGAGGCAGGCAGCCCGAGGGCCGAGTAGACCACGCAGAAGGCCTTGCCGCCGGCAGATAGTGGGGCCATATGGCCATAACCTGCAAGAGAGAGCGGCGGGCAGCAAGCCCTGGAGTGGGAAGCCCTGGGGGGTCACCTTCTCTCCATCACCTCCCACAGAAGGCTTCCCACACGAATGCTTCAGGCTGGGATCCTCTTCTCCTGGGTGGTGGATGGACTGGTCCCTTAACCTCATCGGGTTACTGTTGAGTTTTCTGGCTAATTCATCCTGAAGACATTCCCCTAGGCCTTTCGTAGCTGGCACGACCCAGAGCTTACAGTCTGTCTTTCTGAGATCCTTCCCCCCAACCCCCTTTTCCTGGACTTCAGATGGAACCTAGGGAGCCTCCTGCAGTCTAGCCAAGTGCTCTACAGCTAATGCACCCTGGCCTGACACCGGCTTCCTGGGGTTTATTGGCTCTTTTCTTAACCCGAATTTCCAAATCCACAGGCAGTAGTGTGCCATAGGCTTTCTTTCCCCAAACGTTCATCCTGTCTTTCTGTGCACCGTATCTTGTGCTGGACTGAATCCAAATCTGCCCAGTTTTAGATTTAGGCCCAGATTTAGATTTAGATGTAGATTTAGGCCCTGGTTGACAGTGAGGGAGGCAGGCGAGAAAACAAGGCGTTCTGAAGAGAGGCAGCAAGCGAGAGAGATGGAGTTTAGAGCTGAAGGATCAGGAGCAAGCAAGGGAGAGGAGGAAGAGTGAGGCGTGCTGGGAGAACAGGACCAGCGGGGTCCACAGGTTGCAAACTCCAAAGCTCCCAGGAGTCAGATACGAGGACCGTGTGTGCCGGCAGGCATGCGTGCTCCAGGCAGGCCCCATTCTGCCCCAGACGATTGGGAAAGAAGTTAGAAGTACGTATTTCACTTCAAAAAGTATCTAGGCTACGTGCGGGGTGCGGGACGACAACGCAAAAGCTCCCAGGACTTTGTTTCTCTGTGCCTGAGCACATCTGGTCTCTTCGGTTAACCCTACCCATTTCTGCTCCCTGTTGGCCGGGCTCCAGCACATCACTAGTTACTTCCTCCCCTCCGCCCCCGCCCCTCAGAGGGAGGCTCTAAGCTGTGTTCCCTAGAGCGTCTCAGCGTCTCTCATCCCTGGAGTGTCTCTCCAGGCCCTGTTGGGTTCTCTGCCTGGCTTCACACCTACGTGTTGATCTGGGCTTCTCTTCTGGATGCCGAGGGCGGGGCCTGGGGAGGCCACGCCTCTCCTGGCAGCTTAAGTGGAGGCACCAGTTGGGGTGTGTCGCGCGTGGGGAGCCCTAGCTGTGAGGTCAGGCCTTGGCTGGGCCTGGAGCTTTGGGGTGGGGGAAGGGCTGCCCTCTGGAGCTCTAGGGTCCTCCTCCTGGATGGCCTGGTGGCGATGGCGGCCTACCGGTGGTGGTGAGCATGCTGGCAGTGAATAGCAGAGCTGAGGGCAGATCCCAGTTGCTTGCCTCTGAGCCGTTGCCCAGGCTGGAGACTCCGTGGGCCTGCGCTCTCAGGACGGCACCTAGCAGCTCCTCCAGTGCCTCAGGTGCCAAGCAGGCCCTGTGCTCGGCCTGGAAGGTAGCCAGCTCAGCCCGGAGTTGGGCCTGGAGCTGGAGTGCTGGAGGGCCCTCCAGGGCTTGAAGCACCACAGCCCCAAGGCCCATGGCCAGCAGGTGGGCCACAACCAGGAGCAGGTATCGGGCCCAGGGCTTCAGACCCAGCATGGTACTGCGTGTGGGACCAGTGAGAGAGCAGGCTAAGCCACTACCGACACCAGGGAGGGGCCCCGAAGGGCGTGGCTGGGAGGAGGTGCGGCGTGGGTAGGTGGCTGAGAGGACCGGGGTGAGTGTGAATGGAGGGAGGGGAGCTGGAGCACTCCCACTGTCTGGGGCGAGACATGGCAGCTGGGGCTCTGGGGGTGGGTGGCGAGAAGCCTCGGCGGGAAACCCCAGGCCTGGAGAGGACCTCACGCTTACACGGCGGCGTGTTTCCTCAGTCACGTATATACCTCATTCTACTCATTCAGACACCAGGGAAGACACAAAGGTTTCTCCCTTCCTGGTGCTCACACAGCCAATCTGCTGAGGAACTCGAAGGAGCAGTCCGTGGAGGACAAGCATCCCAGGAAAACTCTGAAGGAAGTAATGTTTCAGCCAGAGAACAAGATCCTCCTTACGGCGCTGGAAACAAGGTTCCGCTGTAAAGAGCACTTGCTGCTCTTCCAGAGGACCTGGGTTTGAATCCTGGCACCTACATGGCGGCTCACAGCTGCCTGTAACTCCACCCAGGAGATCTGATACCTTCCTTTGGTTCTTCTAGTACCAGGCTCACTTGTGGTGAAGGCAAAACAATCATCTGTATAAAAAGGAAACAGGGCCAAGTGTGGTGGTTTATGCTTTCAGTCCCTGCAGAGGCAGAGGGACGGATTTCTGTTGAGTCTGCATAGTGAGGTCCAAGTCAGAGCAGCAGGGTAAAACTGTCTCAAACCAAATAAAATTAGTCAGGCACTGGTGGCACACTCCTTTAATCCCTGCACCGGTGAGGCAGAGGCAGGTGGATTTCTGTGAGCTCAAGGCCAGGCCAGTCTACAGAGTGAGTTCCAGGACAGTCATGGCTATACAGAGAAACTCTGTCTCAAAAAAAAAAAAAAAAACCCAAATAAATAAATAAATAAAATTATGTAAGACTTTAAAGATAACACGTTAGAAAAAAGTCAGTTATAGCAGTCAAGAGGCTAATCATGAGCCGGGTACAGAGGCACACACTTATAATCCCAGCACTCGGGGAGGCAGAGGCAGGTGGATCTCTGTGAGTTCAAGGCTAGTCTGGTCTACAAAGCCCAGCACAGCCAAGGCTACACAGAGACCTGTTTTGAAAAACCAAGGGAGGGAAAGACAGACTAACCATGAAGAAGGGGTTGAGGACACAGGCCTTTGAGGTAAAGTGGGCCAAAGGACCATCTAGAGGATTCTGTGGCATTCTGGGCAGGACAGTTGTAGTCTAAGCAGAGGGTGGGAGAGGGACTGTGGGATTCAGAGGGGAGTAGTTGGGAAGAGAACGAGGTAAGAGCACTATGGACAGGTGATGGTCAGGCTTCCTGCCCCAGCTCTTGCCGAGGACCTGCTGCTCTTGCCCCGGAATGGCTGCCTTGTGTAAATAGGAGGTCACTCATAAACCACAGAAGGATGTTGGTCTAAGGCATTGGTCTTGTTTTTTTTCCAGGCAGGGTTTCTCCAGATGTTTCCCAGAGGGCTGTGGGCGTGAGATCCCACCTGTGGTGGGGACAGCACGGTAACCGGATTACCGAAGACCTTGCAGCTGGGCCCAGCAGAGGGGCAGGGACACCCAGCAGCAGGGGGCCTCAGGGCAAGCCATCACTGGAATGGTAGAAATGGTTCAAGTGAAAATGTGGAGCAGGGGACTAAGAGATCAGCGCTTAAGAGCACTGGCCGCTCTTCCAGTAGGCCGAGTTCAATTCCCAGCAGCCATTGTTTTAGGGGCACAGAGACAAGGACGCTAGATTACCTCCAAAAAAGGTGACAGACTACATGTGGGGAGACAGCTTAAGAGTTTATTTGGCTTCATTGGCTCCCCAGGCCAAGGCCCAACCTTGGCCGGGGCAGTAGAAAGGCACCCAGAGAGCCCCAGCTCCAATAACCTCCAAGGTAGGGGGTCCAGGAACTAGGCCTCGGAGACAGAGGCCACAGTAACAAGACGTGGTCAAAAGTGCTGGTGATGCCTGAGGTCGGCCCCTCGCCCCTGGACCTCCCCCCCTCCCTGCACCGCTCCTGGGGGCAATTCCCTGAGACAGGCTCTGGTCCTCCTAACCAGTTAGGTACAGTGTCAGGCCCCAGCGGGGCAGGTAAGTCAGGGCACCTACGGGTTGTAGGCGTGTGGGGTGTAGCCCCCATCCAGTGTGAAGGCTTTCTGTGCAGTGTAGTGTTCCTGGCCCCCAAGGGCGTGGGTTCCCTGGGGGAAACCAAGGCCGCCCCAGAGGCCTGCCTGGCTCCTCTTCCAGTGTATGCTATGCCTTCTCTAAGGCAGCTGGAGCATGGGGGTGTGGCTGGGCCCACTCAGGGCCCTGCTTCTGGTGCCCATGGGGCCTGAGCACCCATGTCTTTGGTCTGCGTCCTGCAGTCCTGGGAGCCTCCCCGGAAGGGGTTGGCAGGCGGGGAGTCCCAGAAGGGATCTGAGTCTGGGAACAAGGTCCAAGGTGCCCGTCGGGGCACAGGCTGTGGAGAGGGCAGGGGTGAAGGCCGTGGCCCAGCTGACACGAAGCTCCACGGGTCAATACGGCTACGGAGTGGTGAGGGCCGAGGTCTGCTGATGAGGCCCAAGGGGGGTGAGCGAGGGGTTCCAGGGGTGCCAGGAGCAGAGCGTGATATTCCTGGTGGGGGCGAAACAGTTCTTCCTGTTGGGTATAAAAGGGGTACATGGTTAGGCAGCTACTAATTCCCAGGTGTCCCCTGGAGGAACTGCCCTGCTCTGGCCTAAGCTCCTAGCAACACAGTGAGCTATGTGAGTGAGTGACTAAGGCCTCTTTCTTTCTTTCTTTCTTTCTTTCTTTCTTTCTTTCTTTCTTTCTCTCTTTCTTTTTATTGTTGTTTTGTTTTTTTTTGAGACAGGGTTTCCCTGTGTAGTCAGCTGTCTTGGACTCACTTTGTAGACCAGGCTGGCCTTGAACTCACAGAGATCTGCCTGCCTCTGCCTGCCTGAGTGCTGGGATCACAGGTGTGTGCCACCATGTCCAGCTTGGTTCTGAGGTTCTTTATGCTCCATCATGTGTCTATTTCAGCTGTCCTAGATCCATCTGGGCTTGGCGACTTACTGGCTGTGGGAACCCTGAACCTGTGCATCTGTATTTCCTACATTTTCTCATCTAAGCTGGCGAGACAGCCTAGCAGTCAAGGGTGCTTGCTGCCAAGACTAACCTTGGCTTACACCCTGGGGCCCTGGTGGTAGAAGGGGGGGAACCGGCCCCTGAAAGCTGTCCATATTTGGACTGTGGCATGCGTGCCTCCCCAATAAGTAAATAAATATAAAAATAAATTAACTTCCTCATCTAGCCTGGCATGGTGGAACATGCTTGGCATCTCAGAACTTGGGAGGCTGAGACAGGAGGACCAGGAGTTGAGGCCAACCTAGGCTACACAGGGAGACCTTGCTTCAAACAATCGAACAAAAATACTTCATCTAAAAATGGGGGCATTAGCTTGGTGGTGGTAATCCCAGAACTTAGGAGGCAGAGGTAGGTGGATCACTGTGAGTTTGAGGCCAGCCTGGTCTACAGAGCAAGTTCAGGACAGCCAAGGCTACACAGGAAAACCGTCTCCAAAATAAAACAAAACAAAATAAAAACTGGGCATAAGAATGCTTCATACACAGATTGTAATTTTATGCAATAGCCTCTCTACAGAATGGCTATAGTACTTGGCCCAACCAATCAGTAGGAGTCTGTCACCATTAGGTGATTTCTATTACTTTCTCTGAAGCTCGGGCTCTAGCAGTGGCCCCGAGTCTAAGGACTGGGGTACCCAGATTAGCAGCTGTCTGTGGTCCGCTAAGTTCCCAGCCATTCCTCCCTTCTCTACCTTCTCCTCAGTCTTAGGGCCACTCACCACGTGTCTCATCCCGACGAGGGCTCTTGGCTGAGGGCTGGCCAGATGGAACACCTAGGTCTAGCAATAAGGGTGCAGGGGCGTGTGGGCCGCGGGCATCCGATGTGGGTGAGAGGCGAATGAGAGGGGTGGAGGGCAGCTCAGCCGGGCAGGGTGCGGGCATCTGTGCAGGGGGTGCTGCTGGCGGGGGCTCCCCGCGCTCGCGGCTCAGGCCTCCTGGAGGCTGCAGGTCTCGGCCGAGGCCTAGGGAAGCCAGCAGCGCAGTGCCCCGCAGCAGTGCGCGCTGGATCAGTTTGGGCGTCCCGGAGCTGCTGCCCCGCTCTGTGGGCCCGGACCGCCGTGGCTCCTCTGGCTCAGGGCTAGGCCGCGGAGGGTTACCTGTGGGCAGTGGTGGCACAGGTTAGACTGGGGCTGGAACAAGAGCCGAGCGCTACTCTCCACGGCCGTCCTCCTCAGCTCTCTCTGCAGTGCAGCTCTTCCGGGTCACACACATTCCGCCAAAGGGAAGGGTCTGGGGACAACTACAGGAGCAAAGCCTGGAAGCAGGCGTTGTGGAAAGCTTCTCCAAGCGGAACAGCCCACTTCATCAGAGTAGCTGTAGCTTCTTGCAAGAGACCCCCAATCAGGCTTGTGGTCCTCAAGACCACAGGAGGGGTCTGGGAGGGTGGCTGGGCCTTCACCTGACAGTCTTAGGTGTTTCTCCTGTACCTTCCAGCAGTCAGTCTTGACATTCCTTCACTCTGCATTATCATCAAGCCCCTTCCTGGTCTAATCCCTTCTGCCTTTCCCACCCTGTGCTAGGCGCCTAGCTGACCCGCCAGGAGACCTAGGTTGGCTGGAGAAAGACAAGGCTGAGGTGAGCTTCAGGACTTAGCTCCGAACTCTGCTGGTCCTGGAGGTTTGTTTTTTTAGTAATTTATGTGTATGAATATTTTTTGCCTGCATGCTTGGTACTTGCAGAGGCCAGAAGAGGGCAATGGATCTCCTAGAACAAATTAATAAAAATGTAAAAATATTCAGAAGGAAGTAAGAGCGGAGACTGCAGCCCAGGAGAGTGAGTGAGTGGAAGCTCCTCAAGTCAGATCTGAGGTCCCTGAAGTTAAGTG